GAAAAAGAAAAAGTCACCCCAAATTTCAATAACACATGGCCTCGTGTGTCTCTCGCTTCTCTTACACTTATGTAAATACGTGTAGATAATAAGAGGAATCATAGCTTCTCGTACATAAATTTGTATAAAAAATAAAAAATTATCTTCCTCTTCACCCTTATATATGTCCAATATAGTTAACCCATTTGATGCAATTGTCCAAAGAAGTTGCTACATCTTTAAGAAAATTAAACTAGGATTTTTTCAAGAATCTTGAACTTTAGAAATAAAGGAATTAAAAATAGTCCTACATTGCCAGAAACTCTAATTAAGGAATTATTTCCTTTTGCTCTTAAATGCTCCCCTAGACAAATTCTCATCATGTTTTTTTATTAAAATTTGAGATCCTTTAAATTAGCAATCACCAAAGAAATTAAGATAATTAGAAACTTTTTAAAGAACATATAACAATTTATAAAGTCTATTTGGATCATGAACGATGCATTTGATCACCTGGGTCACTCAACTTCAAAACCAATCAGTTAATATACATTTTTCACCTAAATTAACATGTGTCCTATCGCATGTATGTGCATCCTATTACATGTACCCAGCTTTAAATTACATTAAAAAAATAGAGCAGAGGCATAACAGAATTCAAACTTTAAGGCAAAACACATAGAATGATGAATTATTTAAGCCACAATTCAGGCAGTTGCTTGTGCTTATTTAGGCCAACCAATCTGCAATCAATGAATGAGAAATTAGAAATTTAAGTCAAAACATTATCTCATTGAAGTAAATCTAAAAACACTTTGTCCACAAATACCTCTTCAATCAAGCATACCTCTCAAGCTTCCATGCTATTCCTTCGAACACACTCGACAATCACAAGTCCTTTTCTCCTATCATAAAACATTAGTTAATCAATTTAACAATCAAAACCTCAAACATTGAAACAACATTAAAATATCTAGAGAAGCAAAAGCTAAATTTAAAGGATACGAAAAAAAAATGCTCATTTGTTAGAAAAGAAATACTGAGAGAACTATATCAGATACAATCATAACTAACTTAATGTGTTATAATATACTACCTAAAGTCAATGAATAACAAAAAAAAAAGTCAGTGAATAGAAAGAAATAAGAAAATCACTGATCGACATGAGTATAAATTGCAAAAAATAATTGAGTTACTTTTTTAATCTATTGAATTCATATAAATTCTATAGTCCAAATTTTCTGAATTCAAAATCAAAAAATCAACATCCAATATGCGCATGGTTTCCCAAAAAATCCAGCCAAGAAAATATTTATACTGTGCGGCAAACACCATATGGGCATCGTGCGATGTGAGTGTTTTGAGATAAAGAGAGAGAGAGAAGAAGCAAGAGAAAGAGAGGAGAGTGGTCGCAGAGAAAGAGAATTGCTATCTAACATAAAAATTTGATCAAACTACCAACAAAGAAGTAGTAAATTATAGGAATTTTTAACGAACCAAAACTCAGAAATTTCAGCAAGAAAGAAATAGAGTTTCAGCGTGTACCTGGAATCAATTGAAGCAGCGGAGAATTACAGTAGAGAGTCCGAGCAGTATGAGCAATGTTGAGAGAGTCAACAACGGTTGGAAGCGGTCGCTTTGATACCAAGAAGCAGAAGTGAACAATAGGATCTGAGTGCACGTGTGTGTTTTTTTTGTGTGTGAGTGTTTTTTGTGCATGTGTGAATGTTTTTCTTTGTGTGTTTTCTGCGTAGAGAGAAAGAGAGAGAAGAAGAGGCATGATTGAGAGAGAAGACTGAGCGAAAGAGAGAGAGAGACAGAGAGGTACATGTGCAATAGAAGTCTAAAGTTGTATAAGGAATGAAAGACTTATGGTTCGTTTGTTTAGCGGGAGAATGACAGAAAATGCAGGAAAGCGAAATTTTTTAAATTTTTTATGTGTTTAGTTAGCATGACAAGTAAAATGATGGAAAAAATAATTTTCTTTCATGCTTGAATTTTCTCACAAATAATTAACTTTTTTTCTTGCAAAAAACACAAAGAAATACAAGAAATTTATGATTTATAACTAACTTGCTATTTTATCCTTATTTTTCTTAAAATATTTTATTGATTATTAATTCTAAAAAATTTTAGTATAAATTTGATTAATCATATAATTTAGGCCAAAGACCTTTGTATTAGTGATTGTCTTAAAATTAAGTTTCGAGCTATTTTTTGAAATTTTTTAACTTTCAATTATAATTACATATTTTTTTCCTTTTAAAACCGATTTAATATAATTAAGGGTAATTTAGACAATTATAAAAAATTCTTATAACTTTTCTTTTTTTCAAACAATAGAATGAAATTTTTTTTAAAATTTCAGGTAAATTTTTTATTCTAACTAAATACATGTATGAAAATATATTTTCTATCAGTTTCTTTTCTTTCATTTCATTTTCTATCATTTTCACTTTTCATCATTTTTTTCTTCCTAACCAAACAGACCCTTACTTAAAATTTTGAACAAGAAAAAAAATTAAAACATCAATTAGAATTACGTAAACAAAATTAAAAAAGTAATCGTTGTTGGGTGGGAAAATAAAATTCAGTATTCACTATAGATCGTTGGATTAGTATTTATGAGATGATTTGAATCGTCAATTATGTTAGAATTACGTTGTTTATTAGATATGTTTATGTTTTGTCTCAAAACGATCTGAACCTCTCTTTGTTTCTAAAATTCAAACTCAGTTCTACTTTATTATATAAATAGGTACATCACGCGATATTATTGACATGATGCATTGAATATTTTCTCCTTGAACCATCTTCCACTTGTTAAAAAAATTGATTAATTGCTTTGAAGCTCCCCAAAGTATAGAGTTTGTCTTATTTTAATCTCTAATATTTCAATTGTATCAGTTTGGTCCATGAAATATTAAATATGTTTCAATGTGGTTCCTCAAACAGACAATATTCAAATTGCTAACGGCTTTTGATCATAAATTTTTAACGTGATACCTAAATATGGACAAAAAGTAAATTGGAATGCTTTTGACCAAAATTTGAATAATTTATGACAAAAAATGTGTAATATGGGTAACTCTTGATCAAAATTTGAATAACTCGCGATCAAAACTATGTAATTTGAGTAGTTTTTTGACCAAAATTTGGGTAAAAAATTGATCAAGAGTCATCTAAAATTTTTTCTCCACATTTAGATATTACGTAAAAAATTATTATAAAAAATTATTAGCAATTTTGACGTTGTCTGCTTGAGGGACTACATATAAATATATTCAATATTTCAGATACTAAAACGATGCGATTAAAATATTAGGGACAAAAATGAGACAAATTTCATACTTTGGAGACTTCCAATACAATTAACTCTAAAAAAACCTTAACGAAAAAATATTAGGTGTTATCGTTATACCATATTATCATACAAACATAGTGTAATTGTTCAATAATAAGATAACATGTGAACAGATAAATCTCACATGTTATAGTAACTATTATGTTGCAGTTGAAATATTATGTATCAAAATGAGAGAAATCTTATATTTTGGGAGACTTCTAATACAATTAACTCTGAAAAAAAATCCCTTCACAAAAAATATTGACATAATATAATCGTTCAATAATAGATCCCACGTACTATAATAACTTTCATGTCATAGCGCTCGACCGTCACACCCAATATTTTCTCTCCAATCCCACGCAACTCCAAAACGATTTTTCTCTCTCCCTTTCTCTCTCTTTCACATAGTGTTTTCAAAATCGGATCGATCGATTAGACCGATCTAACTATGAACCGGGACATAAACTAGTCTGATTCTTGAGTCGAACCGTATAAACAGTCCAACCGGAAGATTTTTTACAACCAGACGGTTGGATTTCAAATAATACTTAAAAAAAAATTCTTTTTTGGGGGCAATTTTGCCCTAAATCTTCAATGTCATTCCACTTTCTTCCTTCAATCTCCACTCCCAGGCGACGAAAGACGACGACAAACGACAAAACTAAGGCAGCTATGAACAACTCAAGCGATCAGATCAACTCCTTCTCTGTTCTAGATCGAGCAATCGATTTGACTGAGTCTCCTCTCACTCAGCAATCTAAATTCTGAGTTTCCTCTTTCTCCCTTCCTTTTGCTGCCAGCGTGCTTGTAACCATAACCCTCTTTCCCCCCTTTTTTTTTTCTCTCTGTTACACACACATAGAGAGACGATTCTCTCCCACTCTCTTTTGTTTTTGTATGGTTGAATTTCTTAGAAAATGCATTTAATATATTTCATTTAAGCAATTATATATTATGTTTTTGTATTTTTTAGTTAAAATATTATGTTTTATAATTTATATATATTTACTAGTCATAATCTGTATATGAATGCACAATAAAATATAAAATTTGAGCGTCTAAAAAATTGATTCCACTATATTAATTTTTTTTAAAATATATTAATTATAAATTAATTAAATATTAAATAATTAAATATATGATAAAAATGAATGATGTGATATTTTTAAGAAAAAAATATATAAATAACTAAATATGTGATAAAAATGAGTAATGTGATTTGACGTTTGAGTCTGACAAAGGAATGATGAGTGAGGTAAGTGATTGGTGATAGTTTTCAGAGAGAAAGTCTGACAAAAGAATAATGGGTGAGGTAAGTGATTGGTGATAATTTTAAGGAAAAAAATATAATTAGGATAAAATCCAAACAAAATCTTATTTTATTATATAGACTAGTCATAACTCGTACTTGAAGACACGATAAAATATAAAATTCGAGCATCCAAAAAGTTGATCAGTAGTGACGTACTAATATAAAAAAATATTAAATGATTAAATATATGATAAAAATGAATGATGTGATATTTTTAGGAAAGAAATATATAAATAATTAAACATATTATAGAAATAAGTTATACGATTTGACGTTTAAATCTGACAAAGGAATGATGGGTGAGATAAGTGATTGATAATAATTTTGAAAAAAAAAAGTATGAGTGGAATAAAATTCAAATACATTTATATTTTATTATATATTATATAGATTTTCAGAACCCCTCAGTTGTATTAGTAAATCATTGATCCGATTCCCAAGCGGTTTAATGACCGGTCCGGTCAATATTGCTCTTTAACACACACGGGGAGGGAGCTTATCAGATAGAAATAGTGGTCGCGTGTTTGTGTGTTTCAAAGCGAGAGATGAAGCTATCCTTGAAAGTCCAAGATCAGCACCACCACCAACAAAACCAAAACCACCAATACAACCACCATGAGAACCACCCACTTCTCCTCCGAGCCAAAATCCCCATATCAATCCTCAACCACCCCTTCCTCTCCCACTTCACCACCACCACCGACCCATCCTCCAACATCTCCCTCTCTCTCTCCACCAATTTCCCCTCTGGCCCCTCCCTGAAACTTTCCTACACCACCCCCACCTCCTCCCCCTCCAGCACGGCAACATCACCACTCACTCTCTCTCTCAAATCCGGTACCGGCCTCTTCGGGTCACCCAACAACTCACCCCTTGTCATCTCTGCTCACTTATCATTTTCCCCACAAAACCCTAACTGTAACCCCACTTTCTCTCTCCACTTCAAACCCCAACTTGGTTCCTTCTCTCTCAAAAAAACCACTTTTTCTAATCCAGACCCTAATCCTAATCCTAAACCCAATGGTGGGGTTGATTCGAATTCATTTGGGTTTGTACCAATTGAGAGACCTATGCATTGGGAGGAATTGAATATGGTTTCTGATAAACACAAAAATTCCATTTTTAAGGGGATTTCGGTGCTTGCGAGGACGGAAATGCCCGTCACAAAACGGGTGGCCATAAATTTCCGGTGGGGTGTGAACTTCCCTGAGGATTTGGGGAAGCAAATGCCAGTTTTGAGCGTGAATAAGATTGGGATTGAGAGGATTCATGAGGCAAAGGAAGAGAAGGGTGTGAAAGAGAAGAGTAAGGGAGGTGATGTGGAATTGATGAAAGGAATGTTTTTATGGATGAGAAGAGAACTGGATGTGTTACAGAGAGATAATAGGGAGATGAAGCATAGATTGGAGGAAATGAAGTTGGGGAACTTGGCCAGCGATCAACGTGGGGGCGCTGAGGGTGTCAGAAAGAAGGCATTGCCAGTGCTTGAAAATCCTGGTGCGTTTGAGCAGTGGAGGAGCAAGAATAGTGGTGGGCAAGAGAATGGTTGGAAAGAGGCGAAGAAGAATGGGAATCGTGTAAGTGATGTGGAGAGTGAATTGCAGAGAGCTATTAAGGCAGCTTCCTCTTAATGAGGTTTGACTTAATGTGCATTGTGTATTTCATTGTTTTGCTTGTGAATGTACATAAGAATTGTATTGTATCAACTGAGATTGTCCTACGTATTTTCATGAAGGAGAGAGCTAGCCTTCCTAGTTTTATAATGTCATGCTTAGGCCTTTTGGATTAATCAGCAGAATATTGGGATCTCCTAGTGCTTCTATGGTAAATGTGACACTGAATTTCCTGTAATTTATTAAAAGAGTTGTGGGATTAGTTCGTGTTATCTTTCTTTTGACTGCATTGTAGCTTACAGAAGTTCATGAAAATTGTGTTGCAAAAAAGTCGTTTTCTAATATAGCTATTCGAGTCTATTTTGTACATCTTTGATGGGAAGATATCATGTTCATAGTACTTTATAAACTGTCCTTTCTTAGTCTCCTTATTGTTCAAAGAAGGGGCAGGGGGCTTAAATTAGCTGGTAAAGATAATTTGAGCTTGAGTGACTAATTATCGTAAGAAAATTTTGGTCTTGGAAGAAAACTCTTTGATTTAAGTGGTGGAAGAGCAAAAAGTATTGAGGTGGAGAAGGAATCAGTGAGGTCTTGACGAACATAGTAATCAAATTGCCAACAACTAATGCATTGGTTCCTTTATAATGGGTCAGAACTATTTGTGCTTTCAATTTTGTAGATGATTGCTATGATGGGAAGCTCTTCACAACCTTCCTATGTTTTGTGAGAAAACTTGGCAGTTATTTGTTAAATTATTTCAATCCATTACGGAAATCATAGAATAAATTCTGTATAGCTTTCCAACACAATGCTACAATGTTTGGATGAGTAATGGCAATCATGTTTTGTTTGATGTTGATTTTGTATGGTTCCAATTAGCTATGTTGTATGATGAGGTTCCTCATTGGACACTACTTCCACCATTGAATTCACATGTTCATGTGGCAAACAGATTGCCAGAAATGTGTTCATACATGGTTCTGTAGCCTTGTGCTCCCGTTTCTGCAAAGAGAATATGATTAGTTTGCAGCTTGCTTGGTAAATCCCCTTTGCCAAAAAAAAAAAAAAAAAAGAAAGAAAGAAAAACCAGATGTTTGAAGTAACCCGAGAGTGTTTGAAGTAAACATACCAGATGGCAAAAATTGATTTATTTTTTCTAGTTGTTGAACATCCTACAAAATTTCTTTTTCTTATTCTTTTTTCTTTTTTCTCATTTTGGTTTCTTTGTGTGGGTGAATGTGGAGTCCTATTCCTATTCACTTGCTAGCTGCAAATGAAAGGCTTGAAAAATAGAATTCTTAGATTTGTTTCAAATTTGCAGTTGAAATGTACAGGCATTATCATCCAATTTTGAAGCCTCTATTGTTTTCTTTTGAATGACAAAAGGATATTGGGGTCAATCACTAGCTTCTTTTACTATTAGGTTCTCTTTTATTACCAATCCCAATAGCCTCACTTTGATTGACCTTTTGTTGCCAATGACTTGCCTTGGACTGGAAATGAGGCCTTCAAATCCAGCCATGGTATGATATCCGAGTGGGCCCTTATTGTTCTCCTCCATGTGTGTGTGTGTGTGTGCAGTACTGATGCCGGTGAGCTTTTGTACTCTGTTTTCCAGTGTGTCGGTGTGTGTTTTTTCCTTGGGGTGGCCTTGGGGGACTTTGAAAATGGGGGGAGGAGGGCATTAGATGCAGCTTTGCTCGCATGATTGAACTATTGATGTCTAAACCTCTGGTAGAGCATCAGCCAAGAGCTCTTCCACTGCTTTGAACCATGCAGGCACTACATGGATCTGATCCTTGGCCATCGCAGTATGGGACTCAAAAACACACCCTTCTGCATTCGTAATACCTCTTCAACAGATCCATGGTGGTAAATGTAACATTGTCTGGCCTGAAATGCGCGTGGAATGTGCCATGGCGAGCATGATCGACACCCTGATGAGTGCCCATATTAGGATCATTGCAGGCTGTTGGACTCTCAAATCGCAATGACCTCTCATTTAATACAGCCACTTCTTCCTTCTCAGTGCTCAAATGAGGATGGAAGGCCTGTGCGATGGTTGGGATGGAGAGTTGGTGGAATTCTGAAACTCAAGGTTCAATAATGGTGAAAGGATGCTTCAGGGAATTTGTAAGTTGCAGAAGTTGCAATCTTGTGATACGTACGTTACCAACTGCTGACAAATAATCTTAGTAATGGCTGATTACAAAAAACACCAACCGCAATACGCACAAAGTGGGACTCTAGTTTAAACTTTAGAGAGTCAACTTTAAAAATTATCTTCAATACTCTCTGTTTAGGCTAAATTAAAATAGAGACTCTAATTTGGCTCTCGATATTGGAAAGTCCAGTAGAACTCTATGTTGTAATGAAAAAACGAAAAGATGACGTATATACATATTTCAATAAATGTTTTTGACTCTAAAAACTATTTTTTTACTATAATAAAAAGTTCTACTTGAATTTCTGATAAATTTTCACTCTCTATTGTAATTTTTCACTAAAGATTTTTTTCATTTTAGAAAAAATTATTGCTAAAATAGAGAATATTATTAGAAACAAGGGAAATTGGCTGCCCGTATGAGTAATATGTGGGTCGGGTTAGCATTTAATTTCCTAATTTGTTTTGGATGAATTATATTTTATATCTTAAAGTTTACACTTGATTTCTCTTGGTCTCTGAACTATAAATTAAAACAATCAAATCCTTAAGTTTAATGTTATGTTTTAATTAAGTCTCTCAATTAAAACAATCACGAGAGTATAGCCTGATCCAACTATGAAATTAATTTTCAATAATTTGTCTCTAAAATTAGAGTTTATGTATTAAAATTATCTTTTTTCGACTCATTTTATATTAATTGAGTACTTTAATTGAATGTCCTTGACTTATCTTTTATAGGTTTAACTCATATATATGGTATGATTGAAATTATGTATGGGATTGAGACAAGTATTAATAATTGTATGGTGCCTTTTTGTCAAAATCACTAATAAATTTTGACATGATTGAAATTAATTGTAACTTATTGTTTTTTTTCTTTTTTTGTGTCACAAAAAAAAGACAAAAAACAATTAGCATAATCATAATATGGAATTATCTTATTTAAATCATAATTACTAAGAAAAATTATCCATCACTATAAACAATATCAAAGCTAAGTATCAAATTGTGTTATTCTCATGAATCATGTTTTTTTTTTAAATTAAAGACGACCTTAAACGTGTATAATTAAGAATAATTCGTAACTAAAAATATGGTGTAATTTGAATAATTTTAAAAAAAATATTGATAATCATTAAATAAATCTAATTAAAACTATCAAATAAATTATTGAAATATGTCCCATTATAGATTATCACTAGACCACCTCCTGGAGTGAGTTACACAACTTGATTGTTGGGTGTAAATTATAATTCACCATTTTTCTTTTCCCATAATTTCTGGTTCCTACTTTCTAACACGCCGCGTCCGTCAGTGTAGTCATCACTTTTCAGGCAAAGTGGAAATGGCGACAGCTTCGGCCTCCTCAACGTCGACAACAGCATCAAACAGTAGCAGCAGAGAAGGATCAGCAAAAGCTATGGTGGCCGATCAAATTTCTCAGACTGTTCAGTCCACCTCCAATCTCCTACACCTCATGCTTCAATCGTCTCCTGCTCAGGCAAACACACTTCTCCCTCTCTCTCTCCGCCGAAAAAATTCGGGTTTTCAATCATTGTACGATATGTTTTTTTTTTTGGGTAAGTATTTCGAGCAATTTTAAGAGAATTGAATCCATTGGATTTTGGTGCAAGATGAATTACAGTCTTTATCTATCTGTATTTGTTGTATAGGACCTGAGAATTGTTCATCTTCTGTTAGAAATTATATAAGTATGAACGATTTCGATGAAGAGGTTGTTTCTTGGGCAGAATACCGAAGCTTTATTGCGAGAGTTATCGACATTGTGATAAAAAGGTGGTTTTTTTTTCTTGACATACATATGTCTGCAGCTAGGGTTTTACTTGGCTTGCACACCTTAGCTGATACTGTAGAAAGTGGAAAATGTTTCCATATACAGATTAAATCAATTTGGGAATTTGCTCGTCTTGTGTTGGAATATGTGGGTAAAGAAAATGATCAGTAGATGAATATGGCTGAATCAAGAATGTTGAGACCGATAAATTGCAACATTAGTCAGTTAATAAGATCCAAGTGGTTGTATTGATGAGGAAGTTGTGAATTGGATTAAGCTGAAGACCGAATTGGATTGAACTTTTGATGGAAGATACTATGGCTAGGATTTATGAAGGAAAGGTGCCATTATTAGACTGATATGGGACTAAACAAGAAATTGTTTGTCTGACCCCAAGGATCTGTGTGCTCTAGTTTTTACTCTCCTTTCGCACATGGTGGATACAAAATTTACAAATATGTGGTAGAGAGAGTGGGTGCATTAAATAATGATGAAAATTTGACAAAATTTGACTTACTTTGCCTTTTTTAAAGGGCAATAAGATTCAGTAAAGTGCAATGTTGTATTATAAAGCAGGAGAAATCTCAATGCAAATTGCTTTCTCGTATCTTGTCATGAAACTGTGTTCAATTAAATTTACTCCTTACAATTTGTCTTAAGGTTTGCTGTCCGGGCCTAATTATTTTTCACAGTGTAGATTAGCTTCGACCCTATGGCGTATTGTGCTTCCTCACTTAGAGATTATATCTACCATCTCTTTGCAGGCCCAACTAATGAAGCTTCCAAAGAACCTTTTGGCCAAGACCTCTGCAATTAGAAACACTGAGCTGGTATGCAGATCCTTTTTCAGTAACAAACTCGAGTCTGGGATGCCTGGGAAAAGCTGCTTCTCTTATCCATTTGTTTCTGTCTTATTTGATGAAGGTATTAGAGCAGATGCCTCGAATAATTTCATCATTGGATGCACACATGGACGATGGATTACAATGGTTATCTTTTTGCGCTCTACCTCCTTGTGATGATTGCTATTTTTTGTTTGATAGTTCCTTGTCGAGGCTTTTTGGTCTTTCAATAGAGCTTTTAAGGTTTAAATTTGCAACTGTGGAAAAGATGGTGTCTTTTTAATGTGAAACAAATCTGGTAAAAAATGATCAAAACTCACATGTGAATTGATCTTGGTGCATCACAGCCTTCTCTAGAGCTATAAAAATACAGTGCATACAAGGGTTGGAAATGCTAATATATCTGTAGGGGGAAGAGTCCGAGTATTACTACTCTCTTGAGCCTGCCTATGTATTTTCTATCTAAGGCTCAGGTTGGTAGGACCTCTTATGGGGTAGGTTTGTGGAAACGGATTATTGAGATGTGGGATGAATTTTCTTAACTTTTAGCTTCACAATATGTTTGTTCTGGTTTCTTTTTTTTTCC